TCATTACATGGCATCATTTCATACAAGGAAAAAAAATTATTTACCCATATGATCGTTTTTAAGAATAAATGAAAATTCGTCGCTCTTTATTAGATTTGCATTATGATTAGTTATAATATTAGCTGAAGTGATATTTCTAAAATTGTAACATTACCTTTATGAACACAATTGTATTGTATTTTACTGTAAGCACTGGTAGTTCCGCCACATTCGGTACCAAAAGCCTCACGAAATCCAGATATTCTACAACTTTCTACTCCAGCACAATCTCTAGCTACTCGTTTATATTCTTCAGATAAAAATTGCATAAAACAATCACCATCTCTTTCATTACAACATGTATTAGTATTAGTACAGCCAGATATAACATTATTATTACATTCTGATCTATATCCATATGATGTATTTATTATCTGTATAACTAGAGGACTGGTACAAGATAGTCTGTGTGTTGTACATGTTGGATCAGATCCATAACATACCGTACTTGAATAAGTTCCACCTGAAACAAAATGTATCCCGATTCAAACTTTTTTAATCCAAATACAGATATATATGTCTACTCAAAATGAAATGATTTTGATAATTTGATTCTAATCTTCAGTGAAATAATATTTACGGAAAAAAAATCACACTATAGATTTAAGAGAAAACTGTCTGCTGATTTGACCGAAATGTAAGTTTAAAAATATTACCTGAAATAGAGTAATTATAATAAGTAGGAGTATCTTAAATTGATATTTAACATAACATAAGTCTTGCATGAATTTCATTATAAATCTTTACTATGATACATTTATTTTTTCCGAAACAATTTATTTGTCGAGATTTACTCAAATTGTAATAATTTTCTAGGCTGATGCCTAAACTCACCTATTAATGTTACTTTGATCAACAAAATTATGATGATACTAATTAAACTATTTAATAAATACATTTTCTCTGATCCTTTAGTAAATACAATATGTAGTTGTTTCTAAACACATGGACATTCTATTACATAGAAATTTATTGTGATGATAATATTGCATTATCTGAAAATATTAAGAATAAAATTTTAAATAATAACAATCTCATAAAACTGCAGATTTATATTTTTCCGTTCCGTGTTTTTACACTACACTCGTAGGATGAAACTTCTTTTTTTTTCATATAGCCTTCCTGAGAACAGTTTTGAATGCAAAACAGCATGTCGTTGTTGTTCGCTGTGTGAAAAAATCGAAACTAGATATTGCTCGGGGCTATAACGTTATGCGTTTGAATGGTTATATCGTTGGGACTATATCGTTATAAGACTGTGTGAATGCTGTTGGGAGAGGGAGTGTTTTCCCGGGAACGATCCACGGAAAACTGTGCGAAAACGCTTCGGGTGTAAACGCAGCTTTTGACGATGGTCAATACAATTCACAGGAATGCGGGCACCGTTTACGTCATTTATTAAAGAAAATACGTATATAAATGATATCAATAACAACTTACTCAGTTGAAGTTACTCAATATATTTGATATAATAATTATATTTCCTCTATTCACTATGATATAAATTGGTGATATTGATATTTAATCTTGATAACTGTATTTGAACACCACTCCACTGTAATATATATTCAATCAGGAAGTAATATAAAGATAAAGGATATGGGGAAATTACCTTATTATTATACTGTATTGTTCATTTCACTCAAAACCATTTATTTTACATGTTCACAATATTGTCTAATTCTAGTGATAAGCTCGAGGGCCTGTAAAATCAACAACAAAAAACAGATAAAGAATGGTGATTCAGGCTCTCGTTTTGCGGAAATTTATCACATTTCATGGTCGCCCTAAGAAAAACAAAAAGTTTAATAATTGAATGGCTAATTAAGACTTTCCGTACTTGGTTTTGCATCTTGACATCCCTATACGCCATATTTATTACTATTTGTACAACTCTAATTTCATGCACGGGCGAGTGGCGGAGCGAAATCAACATATACACTAGAGCTGTGAACAGCTGTGTCCCGTGATACTTTTCCTGATAGCTGTAAGACTTTTTTGAACTTCAAACCCTCTCAAACCCTCTCAATCACTTTTAGTAAAGAGCCAAGCGAAATGAAATGTTTTGTGAAAGGGTAAATTCAATCTTGTATCAATATAACTTATCGTATGGTTATTTTAATAGCTTCATGGTAGCTATAGTATACAGGTATGTGTGAAATGTGAACATTATGTAACGGAATTTCTTTACTGATATAAACATGATCTATAAGTGCCCCACCTTCAGTAGTGTAATGCTGAACAAGTTGTTGAAAACAAAATACCAAATTTTTGAAAACAATTTGGTATAGACAAATGACCCTCCAAGATATTTTCGTTGAAATCCTCCATAATAACATATAGTCTGAACCAGATTCTTGTAATTCAACTAATAATCTTTCTAACATTGGGAGAAATAAATCTAATCGATAATCGTCTATAGATAACAATTACGTTTAAAAACTCCCAATTTTAAAATGTTGACATTATTGTTTTGCTTATAATATACTCCTACTCCTCCGTGCCCCTTTTCTTTCAAAAATTTGAAATCTCTAGTGTCATCATAGCTGCTGCTTCGAGGATGGTGGTGAAGACGGAAACCATTTAACTTTAGTTTTGCTGGAGTTATTGTTTCTGTTAAACAAATGATATCACCTTCTAGCATTTTCCTGTGTTTCTGTAAATCCTCTATATGAATAGATAAACCCTGAACATTGTGTAAAATTATATTAGTATCAGTTGATATGGTCTCGTTTTCGGGTTTTAAAAAAGTATCCATTGCTCCTAATGCCGATTCAATTTTTTCATCACAATATATGTTTTTTTCGGTAAAATCTTGTATGGTAAGACCCTGTACTGTTTTAACTCTGCTTAATGCAACATAGGCTTGACCAGCTTGGAATATTTTATGAAGTGATATTACGCCTCTATCGAGACTTAGACCTTATACTTTGTGAATAGTAACTGCATACGCGAGACGTAATGGGAACTGGCGTCTAACATCGTCCTTATAGTTGACATGAGGGCTTTCATATCTCTCAATACCAATACTACCACGTGGTACATTTGGTGGAAGTGGAACACTGTCTCCATTTATTCCAACTTTAGCATTATCAAATTTTACAAAAATTTTGTCAGTTTGATTATTCTGATCAGTTTGCATGAATGTTGCTTGACCAAAACTGCCATTTATCAAGCCAGTAGAAACATTTAAATTAATTACTAAAATAACTTTTGACCCTACACCTACTTTTAAGCAAGACACTAATGGCGTATCAGTCACTTTAACGCATGTGGTTTTAAGCGTTATTTTACCAGTTCTAACATCTTTTGAATAATCTAGAGCACTGATGGACACAGAATTTTTCATCAATCATTCTAGAATTATAATCATCATCACTGCTCTTGATCATGAGCGTTTGTTTAAATATTTTAAGTGAAAATATAGCACAACTCGATAAAACATGTGAATTATTATAGAGCTAAAAGATTATGTAGTCAGACTAATTTATTTATGACCTATAATAAGCTTAACAGACGACAATAAATGTTGTTTGCTTTCATCCCCTCGGCATAACACCAATAACCAAAAATTGCTGTATAATGTATCTTGCAGATATAGTTCTATTAATGGTACATACAAACAGACAAAATTCGAACTGGTTAATGTATCAAAAAGTCACTGCTCTAAATAAGTGTATGTTTATCATAAGGGGAAATTTTGCAAAAAATTAAAAAAAAAACTGTGAATTATTATAGAGTTGAAAGATAGTGTAATTAGATTAATTTATTTATGACCTATAATAATCTTAGCAGAAGATAAAATTGCCACTTTCTTTTTATTGCTAAGGATTAGCGCAGTCGGAAGCCAGTTGAATTGGTGCCTGCTAGGCGTTTAAGTGCTGTGGGTTAGAATCCCGCTCTGTATTCTGATTCCACGGTCAGTGTTTGCTAGAGACAGCCCGCTGTTTGCTTTTATTCCCTCAGCCTAACTAACAACCAAAACTGTTGTGTGTGTCTTGCAGATAGAGTTCTATTAATTGTACAGACAGTACAAATCGATAGATTTACCACGCAATAAAGGATATGGGGAAATTACTTTATTATTATAATGTATTGTTCATTTCACTCAAAACCATTTATTTTACATGTTCACAATATTGTCTAATTCTAGTGATAAGCTCGAGGGCCTGTAAAATCAATAAAAAAAGAGACAAAGAATGGTGACTTGCTCTAGTTTTGCGGAAATTTATCATGGTGTCCCTAAGGAAAACAAAAAGTTTAATAATTGAATGGCTAATTCAGACTTTCCGTAATTGGTTTTGCATCTTGACATCCCTATACGTCATATTTATTACTATTTGTACAGCTCTAATTCCATGCACGGGCGAGTGGCGGAGCGAAATCAACATATACATTACATACTGCGCCTTCCTGTGAATTATAAGTATCCACTGAGGTAAAATTCGACAAAATACAGATACTAATATCTTCAACAAACCAAGACGAATGTCGATTGATTAAAAATAACGTTAAACAATTCAGATCAGAACAAGTCTTCCCTCCCCCATATACTCCATATTCTAGATATAAAATCACTTGACAAATATCATAAACTAAATACACTGTATATTGTTTATATTCAATAGACCACATCAATAGACATCTATAAAATATATCATATACACTGTTCAATAAACATATATTCTATATCAATTTTAACATAGAAAATAACTATTGTTATCACTACTTACAATTTATTTAAGACAAATCCTAATAGAGTGTTTATTAAGTTGTCGAAGTTGTCAATACATGTATCTCTATTAAAATACCATCAAGGATCCGCATCTGCATAACCTAGTAATATCAATTATTAACCTCAATATCAGTGTTAAAACTAAAGGTACAATGGCGGTAAAGGAAGTATATTATTATAGTAATTGTATGAATACAGAGATTGATATATTATCACAGATATTAACGAAACTGACAAGAAAACATACTTATTACTGATACCATTATTATTACAATGATTATGCCAGAAATGTTGTAAAAAAGAGGACTGAGATTTGAGTCAACTGAGCCACGACAACTTATGTTACATTATAGCAGTGGGTTTGTTAATATCGTCATATCGTAAACTCATTGTTAACACTTTAAATATTATGGTTTTATCACTCAAGTTAAAGTTAATTTTGTATGATCTTTATGAACCAATGATAAGTTAATAAGAAGACTTGGTAAAAGGATTTTGAATGTAATTTATCACGTAAAACATTGTCATATTTCTTACCTTTATAAATCCTACATTTAACTTCCCTTTTCTCAATATTGTAAATTCTAAAAATAAAATCCNCAAATCACATGACATAATTTTATAATATATACTCCTTATATTGACGTTATTCAACATATCATTTTACTACAGGTTACATTTATATAAATCTTTAATCTAACAAGGTAAGTCATTGTCAAATGTCTATCATTATCAAATCAATATAGTCGTTGACCATTTACAAACAGCAAAATAAAACATGTTATAAAATTAAGGTGAACTTATTCTTTGATTTAGATAAACAATGTAAAATGGCGATTCAGGAAGTATAAAATAGTTGAGCCTGAAACTGAATATGAAAATAAGATAAGATGAGTTATAACATGGGTGATAATATAAAGAGAATCAAGTTTTATTTTGTGATATTTTGTGTCCTGATTTGTTTTCCAGATACTCGTAAGTTAAAAGTTTAGTCATCATTGACGATATCTCTGGATTATTTTAAATGTTTTGTAACTGTAAATATATCAATATTTCTCTCATTGTACTGAATCAATTCATATCTATTTCTTAATCTTTGTTAAGTACAACTAGCAACTCTATTGCTCCACCACAGAAACAATTGTTTTAATTTAGCTCATAGCAATTTTCACATGTTATAATTTATTGCTTACTTATATTTCTGTTAAATATATATTTGGATGGCTGTCAATCATTGTATCATTAGTATCATTATCTATAAACTGTTTCAGGTAGTACTAATACAAGTACAGTATGTTATGGACCCCCTGGTCTATCATGTACAACTCACAAACTATCTTGTACCAGTCCTCTAGTAATACAGATAATAAATACATCATATGGATATAGATCAGGATGTAATGATACAGAAGGTAACACTGATTGTAATACAACATGTTGTGACGAAGAAACTGGTGATTGTTTTGTACCATTTCCATCTTCAGATGAACAACAAGTAGTAAAGAGTTGTAATGGAAATGTAAATTGTTCACTACCAGGATATCGTAGATATAACACAGTTAATACTGTATGTAATAGTAGCAATGTTAGTGCTTACAGTAAAATAAAATATGAATGTGTTAAAGACGGTAAATTGAATATATTATTGATTTATGCATTTTTAGGTTTTATAATATAATATGTTAATAAGACATTTCTGAATCAAAATGATAATCTTTTAAAATCGCAGTTATGTTTTATAACTAACTTCGCAGCAAAAAGTGTAACAACTGTTTGTACTCTTGAACATTTTGTATACAACACTATTTTGTAGGTACAACTATTATCACTCAAACAACTGAAAAAATTACATCTGAGGTGACACAGGCACCAGAGGAAAGCACTATCTCTTCTACCACACAATATTCACAGTGTCCTATGGTACAAAGTGACAGTAAATTCAAATACACTTTTCTCTGAAACAAATACTACATAATCTGCTTTCAAGTTAATTTATGGTAAAGAGGATGCTCGTGTATATGCTAGTTTCATAGGAGTTTTCGGGAAATGAAAAGAACTAAACGAACGAAAGTTACTTCCCTTTCATTACAGTCATATTGATGTTCGAAATGTACAAAATCATTCCGCCATTATTCTATTAACACATTGCAGAGACAGACACTGTAATTTTGTACGGAGTTTGAATTTTGTTATCGTATTTAGATTCAGGTATTGTTGGTGGAGTGTTGGGTACATTATTGATCATATCTGTTATTATTAATGTTGGTTTGATTGTATATTTTACAAGGTGAGTACATATCTATACATATTCAATATCATATTGTAATTCAATTATTCTTCAAAAAGTAAATTTATTAATGTAATATCGAAACACATCAAAGTTCAAGCACCTATACAGGTTATTGGTAATCGAATAAATACCAGATTTTTCTAGGAGAGTTGTATTTCTTTTTTCTATTACAGGAAAATGAAATCCTTGTCAACTACACCAAGAGAAAATAATTATGATGGTATAACTAATACAGGACGAGATCAAACATTACCAACTTATGATTTTCTACAAGTTAATTCTATACTGCTAGTTCTGATCATAACAAGACTAAAT